AAAACCCTTGTAGATCATTTCAAAGATGTATCCCTGTTACTCTGGAAACAAAGACAAAAAAAAGCTTCAACTCTCCTCTAAGAAATGGCTAAAACGGTGTCGTTTGCTTTCATTAAAGGTTGGGTTGCATTTCGTTAGGCTAATATTGGGCCGACCTTTGTTGGTTGGGCCAGGAAATTGGCTTTGGACCCTTATTTATTGAAAAGCTGCTGTTATGCGAATATACATAATTGTTATGTTATATATATATATATATATATATATATAAAATATAATGTGTGGTGTACGCAGCGGTTATTATGTTGCATATGTTAATATTATTTTTATATATTGTGAGATTATCTAAAAATTCTAAAATTAAGATCATATTATATTATATAGTGATTGATACGCATATATAAATCATTATATAATATATACTCGAGAGCAATTTGATTTAAAACTATGATTTTTTATACAAAAAGTTAAATACTAATCATTCGAATAACCAGTTATTGATATCAATTTAGTTTCAACAATTTTTTGTTAAAAATTATTATTTAATCTTGAGTAAATTTTATATATATAATTGAGTAAATTGGCGCTCATACCAGACGGGATATGGGGACGGCTCGCTTCACCCTCATACCGGACGGAATATTGAAGTTTATAAATTTGGCGCTCATACTGGATGGAGTATGGGGATGGCCTGTAATTGAGAATGTTAAAGAAAAATGTTCACGCGTAGCGGAGATATCCCTATGAACCCTCATGGATACTAGCAGACTGATGGAAAAAAGGACAATTGTTGTTTTGATAATTTGAATATAAAAGTAGAATATGTGTTATGTTACTAATTATATACGAAATCATGTTATATATAATGTTATTATTTTCTATAAATTTCATTACGGTAAGTGGACAGTAAATTATTTTATTATTGATAAATGAATTTATATAATTTAGTGCTCAAATAGTTATTTTTTATTTTCTACCAACCTTCATTTTTGTGTCGGTAATATAGTGTGATATTCTTACTTGTATAATGTAACTCATTCCTTATTTAATCATTTCATATCAAGAGAAGCAGAATCTAGAGCTCGATCCGTAAAGGGATTACGAGTAGAATACTGGTTTTATTTATTTTTCGTTCATTCCCTTATTTCTTTGTATTTATTTTAAAATGGTGAATTCCGTAACACTAATTGATACTTTAAGTTATTGTGTAAGGAATGTAAACGTTGAACATTTATTTTGTTTCCGCACTTTAATTATCATTTATGTTTTTTTATATTTCCGGACTCATTACATTTATACTCTAAAATAATTAATAATTAATCATAATTTACACTAATTTAGATCTAATAATTAACTCTAATTTTAATCATTAAGCAAAAGCCAAAATGCATGAATGTATAAGCTCATTATTTTCATAGAACTTTTAGAACCCAAAAAACAATGAAGTTTAAACGTACAAGTAAACTAAGCAGCCTTTTTTTAAAATGTTTGGAGACGACTTTGAAAGTTACATTATAATTACATTCACATCATAAGGTTAGGAGAACCCATAGAACAAATTGAAAGCATACCAAACGCGGCCTTAAATTTAAATACAAATTTCAATTTACCCCTTTTAATTAGAGGCTTTTAAACTCAAAATTTTGTGAAATTTTTTAAGATAATTTATTATTTTATAATTCAAACGTTAATCAAATTTATTATCTCCGAAGAAAATTAAATAATATATTCATTAAAATAATTGATTAATTAATTTTTAAAATTATATATATAATTTATAGAAATTATTTCATTGGTGGATAAATTTAATTGATTTTTCTTAATTTTTTTTAAAAATTTTTTCTTAATTTTTTAAAGTGTCACTTTAACCACAATATTAAAAAAAAAAACATATATGATCTCATAATTATATTATACAAAAGCAACCGTTAATAATTAATTTTCATTCTTGTTTTTTTTAATAATTGTAAATTGCCAAAGTAGATATACTAATATATATATATATATAGAGGAGGATATGTTGGCTAATTATGAAAATGCATGCAGATAAGTAGCATAAGATAAGGTAAAATAAAATGGTTAATGATTATTAATTAAAAAATAATCCATAAAATTAATAAACATTAAAACAAACAATGAATTTTACAAAATATAATTATTCATCTAGTTTATAATTAATAAATTAATAATAATTTAATTTTTTAATTTTTTTAAAAAAAAATTGGTCTAGATCAAAATTTTCATACCCCAATCTTAGAACTTTATTTATTTATTTATTTATTATTATTATTAATTTCATTAACTTAAATATTAGAGTAATTATGTTGAAATAAAAAAGTTTTCTCTTAAATTTATTATAAAAAGTCGAATTTTAACTTATGCATCGATACTTATTTATTGACATATCGAGTCAAAATTAACAAAATATTTTGATAAATTTTTTTAAGAAAATAGTAAGTTACAAAGTTATGATATTTTTCACCACATCATTACGAAAAATTATACGCTAGTTAATCAATATTTAACTGAATAATTAGTACGTTTAACTTTTTACGAGATGTTATCTGTTTAGATAGAACTGTACTTTTACGTTTTATATATATCTTCATATAAATATGGACTCGAGTTTAGTTGTATATTTCGTTTACGATTGTATTATTAATTGTATAGATACCATAATTATTAAAATATATATATATATATACTTATATGAATATTATAAAATATACATACACATGCTCTTTTTTTAACCTAATAATATTTCAAAGTAATGATGTTATGGTAGAATTAATAGCTATTTACATTTGGATCCCTCAAGTGTAAAAGGAATAGTTGATATTTCTATGATCTACCCTATATAGCTTTTGTCAACAATCATAAATTATCATAATTACCAAGAAAAAAAAATTAATTTGGTCATAAATTACTAAGCATTATGGAATATGCTTATATATATATACACACACACACACACACACACACACATAACTAAAAGTCAAATAAATGAATTAAAACAACTATGTATTATTTAAAAATAAAAATATTTGAATAAGCTTTACTTTTAAATATATATATATATATATGATGAGTCTTTTAATAAATCTTTTAATTGATGTAAAAATTTAAAATAGTAAACTTGTTTTCATATTATCTTAAAATATTAAAGTATGATAGTTATTTTATATTTTTATTAGAAAACATAAGTATAAAAAAATATGGTATGTATTTAAACTTAAACCCATGTATAATATACATATATATATCTATGTGTGTGTGTGTGTGTGTATATATATATATATATATATGTATATGTATGTATAGTTTAATTAAGTTTCTCGGGGTCCAAGATGCCACCCATTCTCTGGTAAGCATTAATTAATCACCTCAATGAGCCATTAATGAGTTCACATTTTACAACACAACATTATTCTACATTGACATTGACCTATACTTACATGTTGTTCATGAGGGAGCAAATGCCTTTAATTTATGAGACAAACTTGTATTTTTTTTTTAAAGAACCATTAATATTTTGACATGTACATTATATTATATTTTATATATATTATCTTGTAGTACCATATCACAAAACCCTCTAATTTATGTTTGATTAAGCAAGAAGATTAGGTAATTAAATTAATTAAAAATTTAATTAATTAAACATTTTGGACTTTTCTACTTTTGAAAAATTCAAGGATGCCATGAGGCAACTTCCAAAAATTAAATTTAAAAACATTATTTGTTGCTCTATAAAAGAAAAATGCATTAAGCCTGTTTTAATTACTTGTTTTTGCTTAATTCCTAGTTAAGCATTTCACTAATTAGGCACTAATATGTCTTCCTCTACCCTTCACTTCTACCTTGCAGCTGCAACTCTAGTTTTCGCAACTTTTGTCTACGGACCTTCTCCGGCTCACGCTCAGTTGTCTCCTACGTTTTATGACGAGACGTGTCCATACGTGACGTACATCATTGGAAATATTATTTACAAAGAATTAAAAACTGATCCTCGTATTGCTGCTAGTCTAAACAGACTTCATTTTCACGATTGCTTTGTGAACGTAAGATTATATCGAGTACCTTTTAATATATTACATATGATTTTCATCTTATTTTCAATATAATTACTTACATAATTAAAGTATCTAATATTACTTTTAAATAGAAACTGATTAATCAAGTTTGTTGATGATTTGAAGGGTTGTGATGGATCACTTTTGTTAGACAATAGTCCTACAATACAAAGTGAGAAGGAGTCACTGGCAAACAATAATTCAGTGAGAGGTTTTGATGTTATTGACAGAATGAAGATCCAATTGGAGAGTGTTTGTCCCGGAGTCGTTTCCTGTGCCGATATACTCACTATAGCATCTCAAATATCTGTTACTTTGGTGCGATTTATATTTATTTTTGTCAATTAATTATTCACTGTGAAAAATAGATATAACAATTCTTATAAGCTTGACGAGATATTTGATAAGAAAATATAAATATTCATTCTTTCACTTCCAGTCAGGAGGTCCCTTATGGACGAATCTATTGGGAAGAAGAGATAGTTTGATTGCCAGTCGAGCTCTTGCCGATTTGACCATTCCTTCACCATTTGATACTCTTGATCAGCTCAAACAAAGATTTATAAATGTTGGCCTTAATGGTGATACTGATTTAGTTGCACTCTCTGGTAATATATTTGTTTTATTAGGGTGGTTTTGTCTATTTAAGATCTTATTAGGGTCCTTAGTATTTAAAATTATTAATTTTTTTTTTTATTTTTCTCCTAGGTGCTCACACATTTGGAAGAGCTCGTTGTGTAGGATTCTCTCACCGATTATTCAATTTCAATGGCACTGGTGCTCCAGATCCAACTTTAAATACTAACTTCCTAGAAGTGCTTCGAGAAATATGTCCTCAAGGTGGAAACCAAAGTGTCATCACTGATCTTGATCCAACCACACCTGATGCTTTCGACAACGCCTATTTCTCTAACCTTGAGATTGGAAAAGGTTTGTTGCAAAGTGATCAAGAACTGCTTTCAACTCCTGGTGCTGATACTGCCGATATCGTCAACGAATTTAGCAGTAACACTACTGCCTTCTTCGAAGCTTTCGTATTATCTATGATTAGAATGGGAAATCTAAGTGTGTTAACAGGCACCGAAGGAGAAATCAGATTGAATTGTAGAGTGGTTAATGGAGCTCTGACTTTATCAAATGACAATTCAGTAAGTTCAATATGAACGAACGAAACATTAAAGGATGAATATATATATATTTGTTTGTGTGTGTGTGTGTGCGCGCGCGCATATAGAAAATGTGCTATGTGAATAAATATGCTTGCAATGCAAGCAATATATATACCTCATTGGGTTTGTTTACAGCTATTTTTATCAATATATGGTATGAGTTTACAAAAACAATAAGTAGTACACCAATTTATTTCAACTAACATGTAATTTACATGCATATATATGCAATAATTTGCATTATATTATTGTACCGAAGATATATTAGTATTTATATTCAAACAATCAATACATATATATATATATATATGTGTGTATGTGCTTTCATTTGTTTACCCTTGTTTTTGTTTATTCGTGTTAGCTGTTATGAATTAAGACACCATCATCTATGGATAAACCAATTGAAAGCAAAGATATATGGTGTATATATACATATATATATGTACAAAATAATATAATTAATACTAGAATCTAACAGCGAAGATATAAGGTGTGTGTGTATATATATATATATACGTATGCACAAAATAATATATAACGTAAAAAATTATTTTGTATTTAGTTTTCACGTATGACAATTTTTATATGTTATCAGTCGAATTCTTACATCCAAAATAAGCACCACTTGGTATAAACTATACATATATGTGTGTATGTATACACACATATATATACTTATATTAACTATTAATAAGTTCATACTGTACAACATAAGATAATACTAAGTTGACGTCCACCGACCACGAATATTATATATATATATATATGTATAGATCTTGTTTGTATTTATCTTAATAAATGCTCTTAATTACGGGTTTTAAGTAAATTAAGCTATAATTTTTATTTTCTCTGGTTTATTTATATACTCAAATTAAACTGTCGAATATTTAATTAAATTTTTTTAATTAAATGATAAAAAATTCACGTATTTTATTTTAAAAAAAAATTTCAAAAAATATATTTTTCAATTTTAAAATGCTAAATTATGATTACCATGATTTATTCACATTTATTTATGGATTATCTTTAATATTAATATAAGATAATAAATAATCAAATTATATCATATAATATAACACGAACATAAATATAATATGTTACCACTAAGTGATTTTCACGTGCTCTCGTTTTTTTTTTTTACACGTACGAATATAAAATTTATAATTATATAATAAATGTATATTAAAATATTTAATTTAGTCCCGAAATTTATTCTATATTTTATTGTACAAACGTAATTATTATAAATTAGTCCTCTAATTTTTTAAATTATTTCAAAAAGTTAACACCGTTTGTTTTTGGATGGAATAATTGGATTTCACTTAAGCCGTGTTTGGATAAAACATAAAAATGAAAAATAAAACCTAGCTTTTATACTATTTCTCTCTCTCTCTGTCTCTCTTCATCAATATCTCTACGTCTCCTCTTTCTCTCCCCCTCAAACTTTTTTTTAACACCCAAACATGGTCTCAGCAAAATCTTATTTTTCCATCCAAAAATTAAACAGTGTTGATTTTTTTAAAATAATTTTAAAAAAATTATACAACTAATTTATAATTAAAAAAAATATTCGGATCGAAAATGTAACGTTAATTATACATCGAGGACTAAATTGGGTATTTGCCAAAAACAAAAAATTAAACCGGTTTTCCGTATTTTAAATTTAAATTCTCTCATATCGATTCAATGATATTTTTTTCACATCGAAAAACAAACAAGATCTAACTTTGATTCTATATATATTTTTTATATATTAGTATATCGTATCATATATTTATTGTCTCGTAGTACATTATGATAATTATTTACAGCTACCCATATGAATTATTTACGATGAAATGAAAAAGATTAGGTGAAAATAAATTAATTCAAAAAAATGGTAACAAATCAAATCTTGGACTTTTCTGAGTTTTGAAAATTTCAATGGTGCCGTGAGGCGGCTTCCAATAAAAAAAAAAAAAATCAATTGAAAACTTTTCTCTGTTTGCTCTATAAAGCGAACAAGCACCAAGCCTATTGTGAATTACTTCTTCTTCTTCTTCTTCTTCTTCTTCGTAGTTAAGCATTTCACTAACATGTCTTCTTCTTCCACCATTCACTTCTACCTTGCAGCTGCAACTCTATTTTTCGCAGCTCTTTTCCACGGACCTTCTCCGTCTCACGCACAATTATCTCCTACGTTTTACGACAGGACGTGTCCGCAAGTGACAAAGATCATCAGAGATGTTATCTATAAAGAATTGAGGACGGATATTCGCATTGCTGCGAGTCTCAACAGGCTTCATTTCCACGATTGCTTTGTCAATGTAAGATTCGACCCAGTACCCTTTAACATAGTTTATGTGATTGTTTATCTTATATTTCACTGTATATTTTGATACATTATATATATATATAAATATATATGTCTATTTAAATGTACATCATGGTGTACCCTTTAATATTCACTATATATTTTGAGATGTATCTCTCTTTACATGTATATCGTAGTGGGTATTCAGGGATTAGTGAAACAATATATTACGTATGTTATTTATTTTTGTGATGATGAAGATATTTAAAGATTTTGTACAGAAAGATTATTAAGAAACTCAAATCTTTTCTGGTTCTGTTTTCTTTTCTTTCCTTCACTTGTTTTTCTTGCTAAAAGAGGAATAAAAAGGGTTGGGTTAAGCAGACAAGCCAAGTGTTTTTCTTGGTTTTCTCTGGAAACTATTGATTAGTAGATTCAGTGAACCTTATCGTTAGTTGACTGGTGCAATTACGGTAATATATATATATATTTATATATATCACACCACAAACACGTACATACTTACATAGTACATATATATATATATATATATATATACAGACACACAAACAAACACACATGGGTTGAGAAAAGGACAGAAAAAATTTATGCATAAAGTAAATGAACTGAAGATGACAGGCTACCAAAACATGGAGGTGGGACGAGAAAATCAAACCAAGATGACTAATTTTCATGTAATTACTCGATGACTAAATGATCCAGCACTGCTAGTCCTTAATTTTCCCTTTCTTTTGCTAATAATTTACTAACTAATCTCATGTAAAACTTAATTACTCAATCAAGTTCGTCGACAATCTGTAGGGTTGTGATGGATCTCTTTTGTTGGACAACAGTCCTACAATAGATAGCGAGAAGCAATCGCTGGGAAATAATAACTCGGTGAGGGGTTTCGACGTTGTTGACAGAATGAAGAGCCAATTGGAGAAAGTTTGTCCCGGAGTCGTTTCTTGTGCTGATATACTCACGATCGCATCTCAAATATCTGTCACTTTGGTACAGTACATAAATTTTTCTTGTTAAGAGAATATGTAAATGTTCATTCTCTTGTTGGCTTATAAACTGTGGTGTAAAAAAAAAAAAAAAAATTTTGCATTTTCAGTCGGGAGGTCCCTCGTGGACAAATCTATTGGGAAGGAGAGACGGCTTGACTGCCAGCCGAGCTCTTGCCGACGAGAACCTTCCTTCACCATTTGATTCTCTTGAGTTGCTCAAACAAAGATTTACAAAAGTTGGACTCAATGGTGATGTTGACTTAGTTGCACTATCCGGTAATATACATGTTTTTTCGTTCTTATATTTGACCATTTAGGTTTCTAATTTCAGAGTATTTTTTTATCACTTTAGCACGTAACTCGTTTACAATTCTCTCAGGCGCCCACACATTTGGAAAAGCACGGTGCTTAGGATTCGCCCACCGATTGTTCAATTTCAGCGGCCAAGGTGCTCCGGATCCAACCCTCAACAAAAGCTTTCTGAAAAAGCTTCAGAAAATATGCCCTCAAGGCGGCAACGGAAGTGTCATCACTGATCTTGACGTAACAACACCTAATGCTTTTGATAATGCCTACTTCACTAACCTCAAGATCGGAAAGGGTTTGCTTGAAACTGATCAAATACTTCTCTCGGCTCCTGGAGCCGATACTGCTGATATCGTCAAAAAATTTAGCAAGAACACTTTTGCCTTCTTCGAAGCTTTCGTGTTATCTATGATAAGAATGGGCAATCTTAGCGTTCTAACAGGGAATCAAGGAGAGATTAGATTGAACTGTAGGGTAGTCAACGGACCTTCAACTTTATCAGACGACAATTTGGTGAGCTCAATATGAACGAGCGAAACATTAAAGAGTTACCTATGCTAATGAACTACGTATGACATAAACAAATATGCTTGCAATGCAAGTAATATATGTACAATGGTTGTGCACTTAAGATGCATTGTATTTGAATATTTTGAAATAATATTTGACTTGAAAAAGTTTGTATTTATAATATTCTATTAAAGATAATATATTATAAGCATAGGT